GGCCGAGGGTGCAGGGGCGGTGGGTGCATGGGCGGCGGGTGCAGGGGCGGCGGGTGCAGGGGCCATGGGTGCAGGGGTGGTGGGTGCAGCGGCAGCGGGTGCAGGGTCTGGGGTGCAGGGTCTGGGGTGCAGGGCGGAGGGTACAGGGGCGGTGGGTGCAGGGTCTGGGCTTTAGGGTCTGGGGTGCAGGGGTGGCGGGTGCAGAGGCGGCGGGTGCAGGGGCTGCGGGTGCAGGGGCGGCGGGTGCAGGGGCTCTGGGTGCAGGTGCCGCAGGTGCAGGGGTGGTGGGTGCAGGGTCTGGGGTGCAGGGTCTGGGGTGCAGGGGCGGTGGGTGCAGGGCCTGCGGGTGGGACCCCAGCAGGCGGGGCCGTCCCGGGAAAGCTGTTCTCACCCTGCGTCTTCCCTCCGTTCTCTCTGCCCAGGACGAGGTCTCAGCCCCGGGCAGGCGGGGGCTCTGGGAGGGGGAGCTGAGCCCCGTGGGGAGGGGAGCGCGGGTTCAAGGCAGGAGGAGGGGAGGAGCCGGGGAAGCGCAGGCAGACCCGCGGCCGCCCGGGGCCCAGGGCACTCGGGGGCCGGTGGTGCCCGAGCTCAGGGCCCTGCAGCCAACGAGATGGCCGGTCGATGGTACCCGACCCCCAGCTGTCCCAGGACCGAGGCGCGTCTGTGGGCGCAGGCGAAGGGAGCAGCACCTGACACCGCACGGGTGCAGGGAGGACAGACGGGTGGGCAGCAGGGGGCGGGCGCAGGTGGAGGAGGCGGCTTGCTGGGGGCCATGGGGACGGGGGACAGGGAGGGCCCCTTAGGCGCTCTTTGAGAAGGGGGTGCACACATACTGGAAGGACTGCACCCCGGGCCCTGACCCCCTGACCCCAACCCCACAGGCCGGGTCCCTCAGACCCCAACCCCCCAGGCCGGTCCCTCAGACCCGCTGCCTCCCCGACACGCACGCTGTGCTCAGAGTGTGTGCTCTCCAGTCGGGGTCTCTGCGCCGATGTCACGGCAGCAGCCGCGGACCCGCCAGGGCCCATGGACACAGGCTGACCCCGCGGTGAGGACCGGGAGGCCCCTCGCTGCGTCAGATTACAAAGACTGAGGGCGCGTTGTCCCCGCTCACGTAGTCACAGACGGAGGACGCTCAGAGACATGATGACAGTGCTCATCCCGGGCAGAGGGATTGTGGGTAATCCCTGCCGTTTTATTTTAATTCTGTGATTTCTGTCCGGCCTAAACCCCATCGCTTGTTTCATAAGAAAAAAGATAAAAAGAAGTACTTTTGCCAGCCCCTCGTCGGAGGGAAACACCCCCCCTCAGCAGCAGCATTGCTGCCGGGCCGCCCCAACGGCTGCTTCTGACGCCATGAGGGTCAGGCCCGGCTATTTCGGGCGGGTGCTGGGCTGTGTCCCTCTCCGTGGGAGGAGGGCGTGAGCTCCCGGAATTCTGGGGCTCAGATGCCACTCGTGTGCAAGCTTCCCCACCCCCCACCCCCGCGCCTCCCCCTCTTCCCCCTCCTCCCCCCACGGCTCAGGGGCTGCCTGGCATCGGGCCAGGGTGTCAGAGTGAGTCTTTCTCGCTGCCCGTGTGTTGGGTTCCAACGTGCCCTCGCTCCACCCCGCACGGAGTCCATCCCACCCTCAGAGGCCGTCAGAGCTGGGAGCCCGTTAGGGAGAGAGGCCGTCCGTCCATCCATCCGTCTGTAGTCGTGGCAACGCGGCTTTCAAACACTCGTCACAGCAACTTAGCAACAAAACGGACGTCCGTCCACATTGAACACCAGCGATGGTGTCCACGCCAGGAATGCGGGCCCCATGCAGGGAGGCCTGGCCTTCCAGCCCGGCCCTACTGGGGATGGAGCCCACAACCTGACATGTGCCCTGACCAGGAATCAAACCGTGACCTCCTGGTTCCTAGGTGGACACTCACCACTGAGCCCGCAGGCCCGGCTCCTGTGCTTCTGTTCCCATCAGCAGGTTGTCGTACTAAGTCTCCCCATGGCAGGAACACCGGAGGGCAGGGAAGCCGAGAGCGTGTGCCTCTGGGTGTGTGTGTGGTGCATGTGCATGTGTGTGTCTGTGATGCCTGTGTGCGTGAGTGTGCCGTGCATGTGTGGTGTGTGTGCACGTGTTTGGTGTGTCTGTGCCTATGCATGTGGTGTGTGCGTGTTGAGTATTGGATATAGATGCACAAATGTTTATGTGGTAGGAACCTGGCAGGTCTTGCTTATGAACAAGTGACAGGACACACAGAAATTAAGGCGCGTTGGCTGTGAAGGGTCACAGAGAGGCCTGATGCTCCAGACGCTTCCTGTGCGTTTTAAAAAGCAAAGCGAGTCCGTTTCTCCGCGTCAGCTTTGCAGGAGGCGCACCCTGAGGACCCGCGTTGTGTGTGGCCCTGCGCCTCTCTGCGGTGGCCACGGCCCCAGGGGCCTTCTGCTCCGTCCTGTCACCACACCTTCCTGTTAGCCGGAAACGTTACTTTCTTTTCAGATTTCCCCGGAGACGCAGAGCGGCATCCGGAGGAGGAGTGGAGTTTAGTGTCTTTTCCTTGGTCCTCATGCGCGTGGCCACACTGAAGGTGGCGGTGGGTGGATGCGGGGTGGGAGCCAGCTGCCCAACAGCCACCAAAGGGATTCTTCCTGAAAACTGGGTTACTTTGTCCGCAGTCTGCAGGGGAGCTCCGCTCCTGCCCCCCCCCCCCTCCAGCCTCTGCAGAGCTGGCTGACCTCCCCAGGGCACCCAGCCCTCCCCCACCTCCTCCAGCTCCCGCCCAGCTCCCACCCGAGAGGCACATTGTAGCCACACTCACTGTCTGCGGGAGAGGAGCCGGGGAGCATAACCACAGGGTTTTCAGTCGTCCCCCGCCCCAGCACCCCCTCTCCATCTCCCCGGCTGCACTTCCCCTGAGGCTCAGCATGGGCCTCGCTGGGGAGGAAGGCACACACACTGTATGTGTCCATTGCCCATGGTTTCCAAATGCAATTCCCCCGCAGCCGAAGATGCTGGTGCAAGCAGAGCTGCATGAAAACACTGCAAGGCTAGCTCATCTCCAGCGGAGAGCCGCCGGCCTGCCCGTGCTGGGGAGGGGGGGTGTCCCTCCTCTCCCCTCCCCTCCCCTGTCCTCCCCTCTCTTCTCCACTCCACCCCCCGGGGCCAGGGCGGAGGGAGGGGGCCCAGGACCGGCCGTGGTGCAGGCGGGCCTCGCAGGCGGGAAGGGGAATCTCCGCCCCGCCTGGGGCTCCCCGCCCTCGGTCCCCGGTCCCGGTCCCGGCCCCGGCCCGCGGCCTCCCCCGGCTCCAAACAGCAGCCGGGCTGTCCGGCCGGAGAGGCCGGGATTGGCTGCTGTGTCTCTCAGGGATGGATGGGGGCGGGGAATGGGGTGGCGGCAAATTTTCAAACAACGCGGCGGCCTGAGCCCCGGGCCGGCGGTGACTCGGTCCGGGGACAGATGCCCTCCGGGGCGCAGTCTCTCCATGGGGGGGGGGGGGGGGCTGAGCGGCAGCGGGTGGGGAGTCTGCGGCCAAGCGAGCCCGTCCCCGGGGCCGGCCGAGCTGCCCGCGCCGCGCGGTGGTGGTGGTGTGGGGAGCTAGGGGATGGGGGGCCACGGGGACGGGGGGGGGGCTAGGGGATGGGGGGCCGCGGGGACGGGGGGGCCTAGGGGATGGGGGGCCGCGGGGACAGGAGGGCCTAGGGGATGGGGGATGACGGGGGGGCCTAGGGGACGGAGGGCCGCGGAAACGGACGGGGGGCCGCGGGGACGGGGGAGACCGGGGGCGGACGGGGGTCTGCGGGGACGGGGGTGGGGCCTAGGGGACGGGGGGCCTAGGGGACGGGGGGGGCACGGGGGCGACGGGGGGCCGCGGAGATGGGGGTCTGCAGGGACGGGGGGGGGACGGAGGCGGGGACGGGGGGGGGACCGGGGTCCGGGGGGGCCGCGGAGGTGGGGACGGGGGGGGCCGCGGGGCCGGGGTGACGCGGGCTGCGGGGGAGGCGCGCTGCTCTCTCGTCGCCGCCGGAGCAGCTGGCGGCGGGGACCGAGGAGAGACACAAAGAGGCGGCCCGCCGGCCTCCGCGCTGCTCTCCCTAATCCCCCTTCCCCGGGACCAGGAGATGGTCCCCCGGAAACTCGGGGTGACCCTGGGGCTCCCTTTGATCCATGTGGTTCGGCTGAACCAGCAGGCCTGGGCTCCTGGAGGAGTGGGGTGGGGGGGCTCGAAGCAGAGGAAGCGGGAAGGCGCGGAGCTGGGGGAGGGGACCAGAGGGGGGAGGGGGAGGGGGGCGGAGGGAGGGAGGAAGGAGTGACGCCGGGGCGAGGGGTGTGCGAGGCGGGCGAGCCCCAGCGCCCGCCGCACCGGCCCCGGGCGGGGAGGGGCCAGATCGAACGCGGAGCCCGGCCGGGCCCAGCCCGCTGACCGTTACTCCGGCCGCCGCGGGGCGGGGGCGGGGCGCGCGGGGCCAGGGCCGCCCAGCCCGCACCGCGGGGTCTCCAGCCCCACGAGGAGGGGGCACAGATGGAGAGAAAGGACAAAACTGAAAAACTGCAGCCGGGGGAGGGGAGGGAGCCTCAGCCTCCGGGGCCCAGAACAAGGAGAGAGGAGCGGGGAGCGGAGCCACGTGCCCGGGCGCGGGGTTGAAGCGCCACCTCCGGGCGGCTCGGGCGGCGGGGCCCGGGCGCACGAGGAGCAGCTGCGCCCCCGCCGCCATCTCAGAGCGCGTGCCCGCGTGCGCCCCGGCGGCTCCACCGCGCCCCGGACCCGCACAAAGGCTCCTCGGGACCCGCCTCTCCGGGCCCGGCCCCGGGACTGGCCGCTCCCCGCGGGGTGGCCCGTGGCCCCGCACCGGGCAGAGGCGCCCCGCGCGCGCGCGCGCACACACACACACACACACACACACACACACACACGCGGATTTTTAAAAATAACGTGTCTCCAGACGGGCTCCCGCCCCCGCCTCCATCCTGGCACCGCGGCCCGGGGCGGGGGCGGGGCCTCGCCGCTAATGAGGGGCGGGGCCGGGCGCAGCCATTGGCCGGCCGGAGAGTGACGTCACCCGCATGACACCCTGATAACGAGTTGGGAGAGACTCCCCAACTTTTCGCAGGAGGAGCGCGCGCCTGCGGCGGGAGCTGCACGCCGGAGGGAGAGGGTTCCGGGCCGCCTCCACCGCCGCCGCCTCCCCGGTCACAGCCGCAGCCCCCGGTGTGTGCGCAGCCGGGCAGGGCGGCCGCGGGGCGCCGCGGACTCTGCAGGTCGCCCGGGAAGGTGGAGGGGCGAGCAGGGGCGGGGAGCCTCCGCACCAGACCGAGACCGAGACCGAGACCGAGCCCCAGCGGCGCGGGCCGGAGCGCGCGGCCCCGCGGACCATGGTGCAGCAGCCGGCGGAGGGCGCGGGCGCCGAGGGCCGCCTGCCCCGCGAGGCGCCGGACACGGAGGAGGGCGAGTTCGCGGCCGGCAGCCCCGCGGGCCTGGACGAGGGCGACCCGGACTGGTGCCGCACGGCGTCGGGCCACATCAAGCGGCCGATGAACGCCTTCATGGTGTGGTCCAAGATCGAGCGGCGCAAGATCATGGAGCAGGCGCCCGACATGCACAACGCCGAGATCTCCAAGCGCCTGGGCAAGCGCTGGAAGCTGCTCCCGGACGGCGACAAGGTGCCGTTCATCCGCGAGGCCGAGCGGCTGCGCCTCAAGCACATGGCCGACTACCCCGACTACAAGTACCGGCCGCGCAAGAAGCCCAAGGCGGACCCGGCGCGGCCCGGCCCGAGCCCCGACAAGAGCGCGGCGGCGGGCGGCGCCCGGGCGGCCCGGGGCCCCGGCGGCAGGAAGGGCAGCGCCAGGCCCAGGCCGCCCGCGGGCCCCGGCGCCAGGGCGGGCGCGGGCCGGGCGGCGCCGGGCGCGGACCCGGGCGCGGGGGGCGCGGCCAGGGCGCTCCGGGGCGCGTTCCCGGACGAGGACGACGACGACGACGAGGACGCCGACGAGCTGCCGCCGCCGCTGCGCCTCCAGCGGGAGCCGGACGAGGACGAGGACCCGCCGCCGCCGCTGCCGCCCCCGGGCCGGGCGCCCCCGCCGGCGCGGAGCCGCTCCAGCGCCGCCAAGGTGCCCGCCAGCCCCACGCTGGGCGCGGCCGAGCCCCCCGAGGGCGCCAGCCTGTACGAGGAGGTGCGCGCCGGCCCGGGCGCGGGCGGCCGCCGCTACTACAGCTTCAAGGACATCACCAAGCAGCACCCGCCCGCGCGCCCCGTCTCCATCGCCGCCGCCGGGGCCGGCGACGACGCGGACGACCTCCTGTTCGACCTGAGCCTGAACCTGGCGGCGGGCGCGGCGGGCGCGGGCGGCGAGCAGCCGGGCGGCGCGGCGGGCGGCCTGGCCCTGTCCCTGGTGGACAAGGACCTGGACTCGCTCAGCGAGGGCAGCCTGGGCTCGCATTTCGACTTCCCCGACTACTGCACGCCCGAGCTCAGCGAGATGATCGCGGGCGACTGGCTGGAGGCCAACTTCTCCGACCTGGTCTTCACCTACTGAGCGCCCGCCCGCCCCTGGCCTCCCCGCGCCCCCGCCCCGCCCGGCCCGGGTCCCTCCCGGGGAGGCGGCCGGCGGGAGCGGAGAGGATGCTCACCCGACCTGCCGCCGGGACAAAGGGGGAGGGGAGAGCATGGGGACGTGTGGGGGCGTTTCAGTGAAATGAGTATAGTTTTTGTTTTTTTTTGTTTTCCCCCAAGGGTTTTTCCTCCCTTCCCCCCCAAGGGTTTTCCTTCCTTTTTTTTTTGCTCCCCCCCCCCACCTTTGTCGTGTCTCGAGGTAGTTGCACCCCTAGTCCCGAGCTGTGATTTCTTTCTCTTTTTTTTTTTCTTACCCGCCCCCCCTTGAAAAGGTGTTTTTGGAACGGCGATTTCTCTCTTTCCTGAAATCCGTGATTTGCAACAAAGGCTGCGGCGGGGCGGGCGCGGGGGCCCCGCGGGAGGCGCGGTTCGGGCTTGCTGGCCCTGTTCGGACCCGGACCCGCAGGCAGCTCCGCGGCTCGCCAGGGGGGTGGTTGGAGAATATTTTTGTGGGTTTTTTTTTTTTTTTTCCTTAAGAAATCTTAGAGAATTGGTGGTTTGTTTTTGGGTTGTTTTTTTTTTTTTAAGAAAACAAACACACAAAATAAGACAAAAAAGGGACCATTGCAACTTTATTTTATTTTGTTTTGGAGGGAGAAAGCTGATGTCTTCTATGCATCCGATTCTTCACAAAAAGCTGCAGGGAGCTCGGACACGCAGGCCGAACACGCGCCCGCGGAAACTGTGAACTGACCAGGGTCAGAGCCTCCCTCCTCCGACCCGACCGCTCTGGTTTCACAAATGTGACTTCTACTTGCCAACGGTTTTCCCTCCTCTGTAACCGTCCCCATACCTCCTGGACCGAACGCCAGGCAGCCTAGACCTCAGCAAAAGGCATTGAAGCATTTTTGATACCTAACAGACCTCAGCCTTTTTTAAGAATTAATATATTTTCAGGCGTATTTTTGTACAGTGAAAAGGGAACCTTCTTGCTGTGTTTTTTTCCAGTAAGACTTTCAGGCACTTCTTCCCTTTCAAGTTTTTATTATTTTTTTTCCTTTTTTTTGATGTTTTCGTTTTGTTTTTAGCATGCAAGTTTGTTGGTACGTTCTGTCCTGGTTTTAAAAGGACTAACATTTTGAAAAGTAATCCTTGCATCTGAAGGCCTTGTGGTTTAAAGGAAGGAGAAGAAAAGCAGACTCTGTACAGCTGTGTAGAGGCTGGTCGGATATTTGTAGGTGAAGGGTTGTGGAGACGCGGTCCAGCCCAGAGCTGTGCCAGCTGAAGCCTGTGTGTGTGTACATGTAGGGCTGTGCACCCCGAAGCTGTGCATGTGGGGGGCCCGGATGGGAGGTGTAAGACGGATCCCGGTCTTTAGCAGAAGAAAAGTTCCTCATTCTGTGCAATATGATCTGAATAAAGTGCAGACCGTTTGCCCGCTGGGTAGCAAATGGTGGCGACGCGGACTCGCCGCTCCGCTGACATCCTGCCTGCTTTGTTCTGTTTTCTGTGCTGGGAGCTGTGTCTGGGCCATGATGGTGGTAAATCGGCTGGAGCTGATGGGCGGTCCGGGGGCGGCCAGCCGGGGCCCGGGCTCGGTGCGGGCGGCAGCGGCGGGGGCCGGGCGGGGCCGGGGTCCCCTCCCCACGGCGGCGGCGGGAGCGGAGGGTTCTCTCCGGGCTTCCTCCTCCTCCCGCCCCCGCTTCCTCCCTCTCCTCCTCCTCCTCCTCCTCCTCGGCCTCCCTCTCCCGGCGGCGGGGCGGGGTGGGGGTGCCCCCTCCGGGGTCCCGCGGGGGACCCGCCGCCCCGTTGGGGTTTTGGGGAGGCTGTGCGCAGGGGGCGGCGGGCGGAGCGCGGCGTCTGGGCCTCGGGGATGGGGCCCCTCACCCCTCCGGCCGGAGCGCGCCCCCGGGGGGCGGTGGGGGGCGGACCCGCCGCCCGGATGGACCCCAGCGGGGGGGGGGGCGGGGGGCGCGCGCCGGGTTTCCAGGGACTGAGCCCCCCAGGGCTCCCCGCCCGGCCCGCACCCCGGGCGGCCAGGGGAAGGGGGTCTCGGTCGTTCCCTCCTGCCTCCGGGGCCCCTGTGCCGGCCCCCTTCCCCCCAACACACCCCCTGCACCCGCAGGCCCCCGCCCGCAGAGCCCGCTCCTTCCTGGGATGGCCGCGCGGTGGTGAACCGGGGTCCGCGCTCCCTGCCACCGAGCTGGGCGCCCCATGGACCCCTCCGGACCCCCTCCGGGGCGGGATGGCCGGGCCTGGCACCTCCGGCCCCTCCCACCTCCCCTCCCTCCCTCCCCATCCCAGGGGTCCCTCCGCCTCCGGCCCCTCTCCCCCTCCCCCCACCTCCCCGCCCTCCCATCCCCATCTCCCATCCCCCATCCCACCTCCTTTCCCTCCCCATCCCCCATCCTCTCCCTCCCCATCCCCCATCCCCGGGGTTCCTCCGCCTCCGGCCCCCCCTCCCCCTCCCCCCACCTCCCCTCCCTCCCATCCCCATCCCCCATCCCACCTCCTCTCCCCCCCCCCACCCCCCATCCCAGGGGTTCCTCAGCCTCCGGCCCCCTCTCTCCCTCCCCCTCCCACCTCCCCCCCGCCCCTGCCCGCCAGCTGCGCCACCCGCCCGGGCAGATGGCCTCCTCCGGGTGGGCCGCGGGCCGTGGGAGAGGGGCCACTCCGGGTAAATGGGCATCAGCATGGCAGCGGCCTGACAGTCTGTGTAAAGCCCTGTGTGGAGTGTCTCCGTGGTAGAACACAGGAACCAGGCGGTGGTCTAGGTGAGAGCCCGTCAGACCTCAGGATGCGCCCCTCGCGGGCTGCAGGCCGGGTGCCGTGGCCGTCTCCGGGAACCCAGGCTGGGGTCCGAGACGGTAGACGGGCAGGTGTGCGTGCCAGTGGCCATCGTCCACAAATGTGTCACCGCGTCCCGCTTGGTCTCCTCAGTCGGCCTCCTAACCAAGCATCGGCGGGAACCCAGACGTGGGGAAGGGGGGGTGGCATGCCCTGCTGTTTGTAATGCTCTCACGGCCTCCGTCTCCATCCTGAGGAGCCTGAGCCAGCTTCTCTGCTCTCAGGGAGACTTCCAGTTCGCACGCCCCACGATGCATCCCTTTTGTGTGCACCGCTGCTGGCAGCTATGTGTGAGGAAGGCCGACCGGCCCATCCTTCTGTTACAGGAAAAGGGATGTTCCTTTTGGATGTTAATTGAGGGAGGGGATTGATATGCGTGCATGGGGCCAGATGGCTCCATGGGTTTGGTTTGATTGGCTTTTCCCTTTAGAAAGGGGGACTCGCAGGCCAGGCTTGTTTTTCTCTCCTCGGGGAGCTGAGCCCGGGAGCGCCCCCGGGGGTCCCCAGGGGGGATGTGCAGGTGCTGGTGGCGCGGAAGTCCGGGGGCGTGCCAGGACTCAGGAGTGAGGCCGCGCGTGGCTCTGCTTCAGAACCATCCTCCGATGGCGCTGTATTCCAGCAAGCTTGGCTTTTTTATTCTCGGGTTCGATTCAGGATGTGTACAGTCTTACTTTCCCTCCTAGCCGGCACACGTGTCTCTGGGGGCATTTTGGGGAGAGCTTTTTTTCTGGACTCCCATTTTCTACGCTTTCATGGTGCAGGTCCTGCTTTTCTCGGGTCTCCGGCACGGATGTGGTTCTGCTTTCCCCCCACGGCGTGAGGAAGGCAGAGACCGCTCAGGCGTGGGGGGCTCACGTTGGTGAGACAAGTTCTCTCTCACCACAGTTTCAGGGAAGCTCTTTTCAGGATATTTCTCAGTGGCCCGAGGGCCACGTTTTGTAAAATGTCCACCACAGTGTCCTCTGTGTCTGTCGCCTCCGCCGGGCAGAAGCCGAGACCCCGCCTTAGGCGTCCGACCCCGTTCCCCCAGCGACCGTTGCCGTGGCCGCCGTGGCCTGCAGTGCTCCTCAGGCCCGGCTTCTGGCGGCCACGGGCTCGTCCCTGCCGTGGCCGTGGCCGCTGGCTCTCACTCCCCTCTGTTTGGTGTGTTTGGTGACTGGGCAGGTTCTCTCTTCCACGGCAGCTCACCGAGCCCGCGCCCCCGTCCACGGAGCCCAGGCTCCCAATCACAGTCACACGGAAACGGAATCATGAACTCCATCCTCTTCGGTGGTACCGATTTTTTCCTGGCTCCTCACATAGTATAGCTTCCTCCTGCCCCCCCCCCCCCCCAGTAATTTTTTTAAACGCTACCTATCTCAATCAGCTGCCTAATGAGTCATGTCTGTTCCACGTGGATGCAGTGAGTTTATAAGAGAATTTCACAAACAAGTAGTTTTTTAGCGAGCTTACGCAGAATTTTAAAGGAGACCTATTTTTATACTCCAAAGAAGCACAGCGTGCAGACTAAACCTTGGCTTACAAAGGGAATCCACGTCCATACTGCTCCGTGTACAGAAGTAATAGTTTATTGGGTGGAGATACTCCTCAGACTCAATACCTCGGCCGGCGCTCAGCTCGGACTGTTTCTCTGCCTGGGGCCCCCGGGGCGGGGGCTGCGGCCGGTCCCCCTTCCCTTCCGGGGGACCATCCCGCAAAGCAATCCGGGAGCAGGGCGGTGGCCCACGGCGGGGACAGCCCGGGCCCGGGCGGCGTCCTCCTTCCGTTGGATCAAACATCCTTCCTGCAGGCGCGCAGACGGGCTTCTCTCGGCCGCGAAAACGACGAGAGAAAGCAGCGAATCGAAACGTGGGGGAAAGTGGAAAAAACCACTCTGGGGTCCCCGATGTTTCTGTTCTCTTTGGCGCTACTACACTCTCTCCGCACACACGCCGGCCTGCGCCGCCAAAGAGGTTTGGTCACACGGAGCCTGACGGGGCCGCCGCCCCGAGCTCTCGGCTCCCACACCGGCTCCCCACCCCTCCCGCGTCCCATGCGGCCGCCTCGGACTCCTGTACATACGTAGGCTGTGGGTTTGAGAGTTGTGCGTTTTCCCATGACCCCTTTCCTCGAATGGGCTGTGCGGGGGAGGCCCACTCTCCCGGCTGGGGGCCGCGTGCACAGCCGCTCGGGGCGGGGGAGGCTGGGGCTGTTGGGTTAGATGTCTGAGTGGTTTTGGGGGGGCCTAGGTAGAGTTTGCATGCCAGCGCGCCCCGGGCTGCAGGAGGGGCGTGCTGGGCGGAGTGGGGTGAACTAGAAAATGCATGGCCGGTTTTTGTCTCGTGGCTCTCGCATGCAGGGGTAGCGTATGACGGTGTATGCACACGGTGTATGACAAAGGTGCTGTATCAAATTGTAAAGTTAAGCGTTATTTATTGAAAACAATGTATTTTTTTGTATAAATCCGACCACGTAGAGAATATCGGTGCTGTGCCCGGCGCCAGGGACCAGCCCCCAACCAGCCTCGGCCCGCGGTGTCACTGCTCAGGCCCAGCCCTCCGCCCCCACGCCGCCCGCCAGAGGAATTCCTTCGTCCGAGAGGCTGAGCCGAAGGGAGCGGGCGGCCGGCCGATGGTCCCGGGACTGCTCTCCAGGGTGGCCGTGGACGGCGACTGCTGTTCACTGCGGACACGGAGTCCCCACGCGGGCTCCACAGGGCGGGGGTCAGGCCAGGAAGGCGCCGGGCGGGCGGGCGGACGGGCGGGCTGGGACCGGCCCCATGAGCACGGACGCGGCTTCTGGAGGTCTGTCCCCGGCCGGCGGGCGGGCGAGGCCTGGGCTGAGGGCCGGGCCGGACGGTGTGCCGTCAGAGGGAGTGGGACC